AAATTTAGGATTTTTAGTGCGGCTTATGGTCGTGAAAATACGGTAATTATTGTATATCACAAAGTACACTAAATTCTCCCTTCAGATAATTTTTTCTCCTAATCACTTATTTTTCTCCTAGATTTTAGTTTGTTTTTCAACTGAACTGTACAGCATATACGTATGTTATATTAAAGATTGAAAAAATCTGAAGTTCTTTATTTTGGTCTGATTTTTCTATATCTCTAAACCTGAAATTTTAACAAAGATGTGTAGACTTTTTAATATCCATTGTAAATGTGATTTGCCCCTCACTGCTTCTAAAATATTTTGTTAACTTTCCAGCTTAGCCTCTACATTTGGGATTTCCGGATAAACTGTCATGGAACTACTAACTCTGCTTATCTTTTTCAGGATCATCCAAATCAAGGGGCATTTTAAATAATTAATTTAAAAAATGATTGAAAATGATTAAAACTGAAAAATATGCCAAATTTGAAGACAAGGTTTATCACAAAATAACAGTGTTAAAATCATAAGACATTTAATCCTAATATAAAAGTATTTCAGTAAATCAATGCAAAAAAGTTTTAATGACATTATAAAGTTAAAATATTAATAATATATTGCATGGAGAAAAATACCTTTTCAAATCTAATTAAAACAAGTATTGAAGGAGCCAATTATATTTCATTCATAAGATAGTTCTATAATTCTGGCCCATTCCTAAAAGACTCTGCCACTTTTAAGCGAATTTGATGATGAGGCTTCTTATAAGGTAATCATAACAAATCCATTATTGAGTGATTTTGAGAGAATGCCCCGGAAACCTACATGCACGCTTTTCATGGAGTATTGGACAATCCACTGGGTAGAAATAGGTATTTATAGTTTATATTTTTTAAAAACCCATTCTCATCTGAATACTTTTGCTTGACTCATTTGAAACTATTCTCCTCAAGGTTATCTATAGTAAATTTGCAATTCTGCATTGGATGGAAGGCTCAAACCTGTGAGACAAATTTGACCTAATGATTTGGGGATAATGTTTCAACTCCATCCTTGTCTCTATTTATGCTTCATTCACAGATGAAAGAAAACCTAACAGCCACATATTTTACCTGACTGCCAATAGCTTCATGTAACAACCTCTTCCCATGACTGCTAGGGTCTGCAAAACAGTTTTTGGAGTACAACAAAATTGTTATCTATAGTAGTAATGGATAAATTAGGCTTTGCTGACATTTGCACTGGGCCTACATTCATTGTTTTTTCATGCTTGCCAGATTTTATCCTGAAAGTTGTTCATTTCTTTCCCGCTAACTCATTGAGTAAATCTGTTTTTCCCAAATCAGTGTATGCTCTGAATTGAATATGTAGAATATGCATATTTATGCCAAGTTTTAAAGAGCATTGGAGAACATTCTTTGGTAAATATCAGTTGGTCTTACCTGAACTGCATTTTTTGAAGTACTGTGGAATGAGTCACTGATGGTTATTCTCACGTCCAATCTGCCCAGAGACTGAGGTTAAAGTTGAGGCCACTCCACTTTACCTCCACTGCATGGTTCCTTAATCTAAGGTCAGTGCTCCAAAAAAGAAACTGGGAAGGAAGGATATAAGAAAGACAACACCCCAACCCCAGGACCCTGACTGATCCAACAGCCACTAAAGCTTGGCTCAGGACCTCTCATGCCAAAAATGCGTACTAACTAGGGTGGGAAGTGACTCATCCCACAGTACTTCGAGAAATGCAGTTCAGGTAACATTGGGACATTCTCCCAAGTATCCTGTAGGATGAGTCACTGAGGGGACATATCAAAGCTTGGTGTCCATGGGAGGGAATAAATGGGCCTGAGCCCCTCGAATGTCCAGCATTCCCTGCAGTACCCTCCTACTGAAAGAAGCCACAACTGAAGCGGAAGCGTCCAGCTGGTATTTTCTGATTAAAGGCTAGAGCGAAACCCAGGTGGCCGCCCTACAAATATCCTCAATGGACGCATGAGTCAACCAGGCTGCAGACATGGCAGCACTCCTAGCAGAGTGTGCCATGATGCCAGCCGGCACCGGAAGCCTGCATGCCTCATACGCCCTAGTGATGGCTAACCTAATCCACCTGCCGATGGTAGCTGGGGATACCCTTGCCCCTAGGGTAGAGGACTGGAAGAAGATGAAGATTGCCTCATCTTCACAGAGCCCTTCGCACATCCAGGCAATGCCAGGAACGTTCTCTCTCTCTGGAAGGTGCCGGACAGAAGTCTGGGAGAACCATCTCCTAAGCCCTATGGAAGGGAACGTTAACCTTGGGAAGAATGAAGGGTCAAGCCTTCAGTGCCAAAGCCGTTGCCGGTTCCACCTGCGTGGAGTGGTACCAGGACACAAACGAGGAACATGTAACATTGTAAATGCAGGTAGTGGATTGCCTCCGTGACGCCTCAATTGTCCTGATCACTCTGGCTGGTAGATAAAGGGAGAGTAGATAGATAGGTAGATGTTTCCAGGTGTATTTATGCATGTGCTAGAGAAGAAAATTGCTGATAATCTGCAGCACCTAAGACTTTGTTTCTGCTGGCACAGCACTTGATCAATTTAATTCTCATCAATCAGTTAAAGAGCTTTCCAAAAGGAAAAAAAAAGTTTTTGCACTCTACAAATCTCCCAAAAGTCTTAGGTGCTGCAGATTATCAGCAATTTTCTTCTCTAGCACATGCATAAATACACCTGGAAACATCTACCTACCTACCTACACACACACACACAAACACTCTCTCTCCCTACCTATCTACTGTATTTCTCTATCTTTCTATCTCTCTATTTCTCTCTCTCTCTCTCTCTCTCCCCCTTTATCTACCTACCTGACTACCTACCTAACTACTCTCTCTCTCCCTACCTACTTACTGTATTTCTCTCTCTTTCTTTCCCTCTCTATCCCGCTATCTACCTACCCACTTTTTTAAAAATTTGCCTCTTCAAAACTTTGCTGCATCTTATACTCCGGTGCATCTTATACTCCAAAAAATACAGTACTTTCGCAGTAGGGATGCCCCCCCCCCCCCTGAAAGGGCCGCTTGTTGGTTGCTAGGACCTATTCCTGTCCCTATAAAAATGTCTGTCCCCATGCTAGAATATTCTGGAAGAGGAATATCTGCTGTTGGAAGTCCTCCTCGGGAGGCTGATAGGAAAGCCTCCTCTGGTAGGGTGCCAGACATTGCTCAGGGCACTTCAATGTAGTAGGGAGGACCTTGCATTTGTTTTTATCCTCCACTAAAATAGGATTCATGGAGGGGCCCAAACAGCTTCCCGATAAGAATATTCAACCGCCGCCAGGTTCCATTTGGACTGTGCATCTGCCTGCCAGCTGCACAGCCAGAGGAGAGGCCACCAAAGAAGAGAGCGCCCTTGAGGCATATTTGATCGCATCAAGCGTGGCATCGCTGAAAACTGGGTAGCTGCTGTAAGTTTCTTGATGTCTTGCAGGAGTCGTACCTCTGATGATGAAGCCCTCTCCTGCATCTGGATCAGCCAAAGAAGAGTAGTCCTGTTGAAGAAGGAAGCAGTGGTCACTGCCTTGAACGCCCAGGTTGATGCTTGGAAGATCTTGCACAGGGTTAGTTCTGCTCTCTTATCTTCCGCCTTCAGGTTGTTGGCGATGTCGCCCACCACAAGGGATGAAGAAGACGCCGGTGCTGCCACCAGAGTATCCACCGTCAGAATCTGCAAGGTCCAGGAAAAGCTGGCATCAAAGTTATAAAAACGACGATCATTGCTCCACGGAGTGGGAAAAGCCCCAGGTTTGGCCCATTGAGTCTTGAGTATCTTAAGAAACATCAATGGAGTTGGGATTTCCTCCTTCTCCCCCTGTGGCTTGAGGAAAGGACCCTTTGGCTTCCTACTTGTTGCAGAGGCAGCAGGTGTCTCAGCAGCAGTAGGAGTACCCCCAGGTCAGCAGTGGCCTTGGCCTTGCGTAGAAGAGACCCGAACAAAGAAGGAAAAAAACCTGTGATCACAGAAGCCTCTGGGATTGGAGAATCCTCATCCTCAGAAAAATCAACATCCTTCTGGCCTTCCTCATCTAAGCAAGATCCCTCACTGGCTGTAGAAGGGGAACCCGACCATTGCTCCTGAGTAGTTGAGGTTCCGGATTGGTTTGGATGACCTCTTTGTGTGATACAAGACAAACTTCACCTAGAAGAATGGGACTTCTGCTGCATCCCTGCTGTAATGCCTTGTGCAATAGCCTGAGCAATAATATTCTGAAAGCTTTCTGGAATATCTGGGAAGGCTGATGAAAGAATGGGAGGCTCCAATTCTGGCCTGGTGCTAGCTGATTGAGGGGCAAGCTGGGCCTACTTGCTGCAGCTGCCTCCTGGCAGTCCCCTGGGTGCTCAGGTGAGAGAGGAGGAACAGGGAGAAATCTCCCCTAGAGGAGTCTTGAGATCTAGGAGGGGACCGAGCAACCGGTGAAAGCCTGCAAGGGTGAACATGACCTGGAGGGCGAAGGGCGCTTGCTGCTTATGAGCACCCCCTTTCCTAGAGGACTTAGAGGTGCTCTTTCTGCTTTTGGCTCTCTCTCTCTCTCTGAAGGAGTAGTTCCCCTGGAAGTCCTCTCGCCGAGATCAGAAGCCTCAGGGAAGGCCCCTGGTCTCCTCGTGGTGTCCACCATCTTGCCAAGCTCCTCCAACTCTGCAACTACTCACAGCTCCGCAGCACCACCTCCAGCCTCCTTCTTTAATGTTTAATGTTAATGTCTTGCCCCACTCAGTTGACTAGGGCTGATGCCAAGCGGCTTTGACGAAGCCCCGTTCCTCCTGCACATGGCCCCCAAGATGGCGCCACCAATCCGCAACTCATTTGCACCACCCGAATGTGAAGCAGCAGGAGACCGTTATTCAACAAAGGGTAGACTTCATCTCAGCATTCAATACCAACATTCCAGATATTCTTCTAACTAAACTAAATCAGTTAGCTGTGCCTGACCACACTTGTAAGTGGATCATAAGGTTCCTAACACACAGGAAGCAGCAGGTGAAATTAGGCAAAATCATATCAGATATCTGTACAATTAGTACAACCCCCACCCCCAGGCTGTGTGCTCCCTCCACTTCTCTTCTCTCCATACACCAATGACTGCATCTTAAAAGATCCCTCTGTTAAAGTACTGAAGCTTGTAGATGATACAACAGTGATTGGTCTCATTCAAGATGACAATGAATCTGCATACAGATGGGAGGTTGAACAACTAGCCTTGTGGTGCAGCCAGAACAATCTTGAACTAAACATACTCAAAAACCATAGAAATGATGGTAGACTTTAGGAGAAACCCTCCTATATCTCTTACAATACTAGACAACACAGTATCAACAGTAGAGTCCTTCAAGTTTCTAGGTTCTATAATATCTCAAGACTTAAAATGGACAACTAGCATCAAAAACACCATCAAATCATAAAAAAAAACCATGAGTCTGCCTATCAAGATAAGGTGGACTGATTGCTTTTGTGGTGTGGAGAAAATAACTTGGTCATTAGCACCTATAAGACTAAGGAGCTTATAGTGGACTATAGAAGGAACAGATCAGACATCCGGCCTTTGCTTATCAATAGAGACCGAGTGGAGCAAATGGCCAGTTTTAAGTGGGTGTTATCATAAAAGAGGACCTGATCTGGGGCACTCACCTTGCAGCACTGGTCAAAAGGGCCCAACAGAAATTATATTACCTGAGACTTCTCAGGAAACAATAACTGAATGAAAAACTGCTGGTGACCTTCTACCTCTGAACCATAGAGAGTATTTTAACTTACTACATCTGTGTATGTTTTGCCAATGCAGATAGAACTCCAGAGGGTTAACGTCATTGTCCAGAGGATCGTTGGTTGCCCTCTCCCGGCTTTGGAAGAGCTTTATAACTCCCACTGCCTTAAGAAAGTTCAAAATATTCTTAAAGATCCATCTCATCCTGGGCAGCCTTTTTTTGAACTTTTACCATCTGGCAGACGGTACAGGATAATAAAAACAAGGACAAATAGGTTGAAAAACAGCTTCTATACCAGGGCAGTTACAATATTCTATTCTACTATATAGTGCAATACTAATGCAATAAAGGGTTTTTAATTCAATTGCATACAATGTGAAGGATGTGTGTTTGTTTTATTTTTATAGTTATAATGTACGCTGAAAATGGCATTAAATTTTGTTGTACGATGTACAATCACTGTTCCCTCTAAGGTGCGCGGCCACGCGGCCATGCACGTGGCAAAAAAACACCGCGCAGCAGTGTTTTCTGTCACAGGCTCTGGAAGCTGAGGGGCCTCAGAAAATCTAGGGTTAGCACGGGCGCAGGGATGGCGGCAGGAGCTTACATGGCACAGCCGGTCTCCTAGGACCTCCTAGGGGCAGGCTGCGCCGCTCATTACCGTCAGTCGCCCCATGTTCAGCAAAGCAAATGCGAGAAGTCCTTTGCAGGCGGCTAGAACTGGCTGCCCACAAAGGACCTCCCCAGATTTGTTTTGATGAGCACGGAGCGACTGACGGTAGTTTGCGCTGGCCGCGGCCCCTCAAACTACCATCAGTCGCCCCGTGTTCAGAAAAGCAAGCCCAGGGAGGTCCTTTGTGGGTGGCCAATCCTAGCCGCTTGCGCCCGGTGCTGTGGCTGAAATGAACCCCCAAAGCCCCCGCCACCACCAGAATATCTGCTGCCACCTCCTCCTCCTCCAACAGCACTGCCGGATTTACCACCCAATGCTCCGGCTGAGGTGAAGCTGCCAAAGCTCCCGCCGGCACCCCCGCCCATGGCAGTGGTGCCTCCCACTCCACACAGAGCACCTGAGCTGGCCCCCGCGTTCTCCCTCCCCATTCCTTCTCCACCATGCTTTTGAAGAACCATGAGGCTGCGGGAGCCAGTAGGAAGGCGGCGGAGGGAACGGGAGCAGGAAAAAAAGGCCTCATGGCTTCTCAAAAGCATGGCGGAGGTGGAGTCGGCGGCAGGGGTAACGCGGAACCCAGCTCAGGTGCTCCGAGCAGAGGGGGAGGCACCGCCGCCGCTGCCATGAGCAGGGGCGCCAGCGGGAGCTTTGGCGGCTTCACCTCAGCTTTAGCGCCGGGCAGCAAATGTGGTGGTGCTGTTGGAGGAGGAGGAGGAGGCAGCGGCAGCAGTTATTCTAGTGGCGGCGGGGGCTCGTTGGCATCTTCAGCAGCAGCCTTGCTCCCTGTGAAGAAAACCGAAGATGGAACAGATCCACGCAGATGACGTCGCCGCAACATGACTGGAGGAGGAATTCTGGGAGTTGAAGTCCACAAGTCTTAAAGCTGTCAGGTTTGAAGATCCCTGTTTTTTTTTTCCTAAAGGGTTATGGGTGCAAGGATCTTGTAACTTGACAGCTTTAAGTCTTGCATGCTTCACTGCCAGAGTTTCTGAGCCAACATGACTGGAGGAGGAATTCTGGGAGTTGAGGTCCACAAGTCTTAAAGCTGTCAGGTTTGAAGACCCCTGTTTTTTTTTTCCTAAAGGGTTAGGGGTGCAAGGATCTTGTAACAGCTTTAAGACTTGCGTGCTTCAAATGCCAGACTTTCTGAGCCAACATTTTGGTTGCTAAGCAGGAGCATTGTTAAGTGATACTGATATTATATAACACTTTTAATTAAGTGGGTACCTTGAATAAACATAACTTTGAGTTTCAAATAATACTGATTTCGTTGTTGTCTTAGGTGACATCTATGAAAAAAATTCAGGTGCTCAGGCATGAAAATGTGCCACTCAAACACTATACTTTTCTGCTTACACTGAAAAAAAAATTAGAGGGAACATTGGGTGCAATGACAATTAAATAAACTATAAAGTAAAGTAAAGTAAACTGAACTAAAAAAGCATAAATAATGTTCTTTCTGCACCAACTCAGAAGGCTCAGACTGTCCAAGAAGCTGCAGATTCAGTTCTACAGAGGAATTATTGAGTCTGTCATCTGCACCTCTATAACTGTCTGGTTTGGCTCTGCAACAAAACAAGACAGACACAGACTTCAACAGATAATTAGAACTGCAGAAAAAACAATTGCTGCCAACCTGCCTTCCATTGGGGACCTGTGTAATCAAAAAAGGGCTGTGAAAATATCTACACACCCCTCACATTCTGGACATAAATTGTTTCAACTTCTACCCTCAAAACAAGGGCATTGCACACCAGAACAACTAACACAAGGACAGTTCCCCCCTGCATGCCATCACTCTGCTAAATAACTAATTCCAACAACAAACTATTTACTAAGACTGTTACCTTCCTATTACCTATTTCCTTTTTTATTTATTTTAACTATAACTTTGTTGCTTGTATCTTTATGATTTATATTGTTTATTTAGTTTCCTAGTATGATTTATGTTGATTGCTTATTTAGTATCCTATGATTACCATTAAGTGTTGTATCTTATGATTCATAATGAATGTATTTATGATTACTATGATCATGATTTATCATTTATATCTTTTATGTACACTGAGAGATTATGCACCAAAGACAAATTCCATGTTTGTCCCATCATACTTGGCCAATAAAGAATTCTATTCTATTCCGAAACCTACCCTTGCAGCAGAGTTATAAAACTTTCTGCAGAATTAGCTCTAATTCAGACAAAAGTCCTAGAAATTGTTCTCCTTAGGCCTAGTTACATTATGGTGGCAATTTTCTATTCCAAAAAACTTCAATTAAGAAATAGATCCATCATACTCACTCCTCCAAGACATTTCACTGTACTTATAACCTCATCATATTTCCTTGTGCAATTGATATAGTTGTTGTGCCATCCAATGAAGCTGAAAATTGAATAGGATATTATTCTTTACGTATCATGACTTAGACTTAGAATAACTTTATTGTCACTTTAAATGTACATTAATCAGGATACATTAAAATGAAATTTCATTGCACACAGCTCTCAAAAAGTCATTACCTCTAATATAAACTACAATACTACAAAAATATAAATATACATACATACACACACACACACACACACACACACACACACACAAATACCCACATATATTATATGACACAGAGAAACAATACAATCTAGTTCAGATGTATAGATGTATATGGCGAGAAAAATGAATCTTGTGAATTTACCAGATGGATGGCATAGGGAACAAAGCTGTTACAGAATCTGGTAGTCCTGCTAGTAATACTTTAAAATCTTCTCCCAGAGGGGAGCAACAGAAACAAACCATAAAGTCCGTGTATGGGGTCTCTAACTATGGGGTGTGTGGGATCTCTACCTATGTATTGAGCTTTAAGCACATAGTGCTTATAAGCAGTATCCAGAATAACAGGAAGCGAGTTTCCTATAATCTTCTTGTCTGTCCTTACCACTCTTTATATGTCATGACTTTGGCAACTGAAATAGACTTTGTCTGCCTTGAACAAATGTCACAGTGGATTTTCATGCATTGCACTAACTTCATTCCTGGTCTAGCATAATGTATTTATCTACTATAGCTTAGTATTACCTGCAAACCACAAATTAACAACCAGAATTTTTAAAAATACAACAAAATATTCTGACTTAACATGATTTACAAAATCAGATTAATCCTCAGAAATTATTAAGATAGTAACAAAAAGGGTTTAGTTGGTTAAATAGGAGAACTAGAATAAGATTTTAATATCTACAAAAGAAGAATGCCATTGTCCTTTGTTACATTTGTTGATTTTTGTTCATCATTATACTGCTTCAGTGGAAACAAGATACTAGGCAAGAAGGCTTTTTGTTGTTATGAGTATACAAAACAGCTTCAGCCCAGCAAGCCACTGCCTGGAGAAATGCAAACATACATACAAATCAGGAATCTTGTAGCATCCTAAAGAATATATCTATTTTAGACATGACAAATCCTAGAGAGAGGAAAGATCAGAATATAAAGTTGCTGATAACACGATGTTAAAAACCTTCCATTTACAGCATAAAGTCTTAAAAAAAACAATCACTGATGGATTATACACTCATTCAATCTGTAAGTACAGTCGGGCAATTAGAAGCAAACAAGTTATTGGAAGGTGTAATTAGGCGGTAATTCACGGAGTGGGGCGGAGGACAGCAATATTTCAAGGAGTTTACGATAGCTCTAAACTGAAATGGCAAAACGTGCTTGTCTCTCAACTTGAAAACAATTTAATTAAAAAAAGGAAAAGGAAAATGCGTGGTAATAAGAAACCACTGACGCGTTTAACAACTTCATCAGAACACAAGTTAAGCCACAGTGATTACTAGCAGCAACCCAATTAGACTTAACTTGCAAAAGAATATAAAGGGGAAAATTATTTTTATGTTACTGAAAAGTGAAAGCTTTGAACCGAGAATATCCTATATTTAGAAGTAGCAGTTAATTTTACGATATTTACAAATAAGAGTCCTACTTACATTTAAAATTTATCTTTCTCGGTAAACTTCATACCTAATTTAAATTTGCCTGAAACAGCCAATGAATCAAATTTAAAATTTCTGCCTCTATGATCTGTAGTAAATTTTGGGAACTACGGTAGTCGGGAAGGTCCAAAATAGTTGGTATGGAAATAGGCGAGGCATGGAATATTGCAAAGACACAAGGGAATCGCCGCGGAATAGGAAGCTCGCTTGGCAGCACCAAAGGGGGAAAGGGGGAGGAGAGGGAGGGGGAGGGACAGAGAATTAAAAGCATGGAATGACTTCGCTAGAGAAAACTCATCCTTAAATGTATTGTTTTTATTCCCTCTCCCTAAAACACCTGTGTTTTTAATAAAGTGATTGGAATAAATTCAATTGAAAATCGTAGCTGAGTGACAAAATAACTGTGTTGGAAGGGATCTTAAGAGGTCTTCTAGTCCAGCCCCTTGCTCAAGC